GGTGACGCCGCCTCTGTGGGGTGCAGTGGCGACCCCTCTGCTTTCCTCCCCACCCCACCCCCGCCCCCTTTCTCCCATCTCCTCCTCTTCTCTTTCCGACAATGTCCCAACTGCTCGAAATGGCTGCGATGGCTCAAGTCCCCAATCAGCAGCAAGTGCGGGGCCGGATACACCCCATGCCCCATGTCCTGCTCTCCTGGGTCATTTTGTCTGGATTCTATTAAAATTCTACCCAAACAAATGAATCCCACTGAAGGGGGCACACCTCCCTTTGGGGGATAAGGTGCCGATGTCTTTACCAAAAAAAGTCATTTTGCAACAACCTCCCCCTGTCTCCCCCCCACCCCCACACAGAGTGAGAATGGCCACATAATACTTTCTGGATAGAAAATGGAGAAGGGGGAAAGCCGGCGGGGGGAGGAGGACGCTGAGCCCGTCCCCCGTGAGCAGAACCACGGCCCCGCGAGCACAGGGAGCCGTCACCCCCAAGAGACAACAGCGCCAAGTGACGACAAACGAGGGAGAGAGACGCAGAGATGCTGGGCCCAGGGCGCCCAGAGCCGCGGGACCTGGGCCTGAGGAGGCGGCTCCCGTCCCTCCACCTCCATGGCGGCCGCCCTCTCCTGGGCCTGGGCCTACCTGCAGGGTCCCCTCAGCGGTCCCGCCACACGGCCCGGAGCCTCGGGCCTCGGAGCACAGGGAGCAGGCGGAGTCGCAGGCGTCACCACAGCCAGGGCCTCGCCGACAAGAGCCCTCCTGTCAGGCTCGTGCCCAGGCGCCCAGAGCGCATGCTCAACTCCTGTGACTGGCTGTGCGCCCCAGAGCGCATGCTCAGCTCCTCCTGTCAGGCTGGTGCCCAGCGCCCAGAGCGCAGGCTCAACTCCTGTGACTGGCTGTGCGCCCCAGAGCGCATGCTCAGCTCCTCCTGTCAGGCTCGTGCCCAGGCGCCCAGAGCGCATGCTCAGCTCCTCCTGTCAGGCTCATGCCCAGGCGCCCAGAGCGCATGCTCGGCTCCTTCTGTCAGGCTCATGCCCAGGCGCCCAGAGCGCATGCTCGGTACCCACAACCATCTGGAATGCAGAGCCACGTGGAGGTCGCTTCTACGTGGATCATTTTCGATACAACCAACCAGGGAGAGGCTGTACAGAGAAGACTGGGGAGCCAGCGGGCCTCTCCGGGGTTAGAGGGGCTGGTGATCTCCATGGTTTACGTCCCCTCCACCTCCTTAGGGTGGGCGAGAGCCTGCAAGGTCGCTGCAGTGTTTCTGGACACATCGCTGGAGCCCATCTCGGCTGGGACAGAGAGCCAGCAGGGCCAACAAGGCATTACTAGGTACACCTGGTCTCCCCACCTGGAGCCGCTCCTGATGGGCTTAGTCATGGCTCGGCTCCTACGGGTCTGCAAAAACCACCCCTCACAGAGCCGGTTTATATATAAAGCCGCTTTTCCAAGACGGCTATTTTGTCTAATTCATATAAACAAACACAGAAAGTCAAACAAAATGAAAAGACATTAGAACATCTCTAGAAGGAATAAGAAAAATCCCCGGGGCCGGAAGGAGGTGTACCCTAAGGAAACAAATAATTTGCCTGATAAAATTTTTAAAAATGGCCATAAGGATCTTCACACCAAACTTGGGAGTGGAATAGAGGAACTTAGGGAAAACGTCAACAAAGAATTAGGAAGTATAAGAAAGAACCAAGCAGATTTGAAGAATACACAATAACTGAAATGAAAAACCCAGAAATCAAACAGATTAGCTAATACAGATCAGAGCAGTGACCTAGAGACAGACTAGTGCAGTGGTGGGCAAACTCATTAGTCAACAGAGCCAAATATCAACAGTACAACGATTGAAATTTCTTTTGAGAGCCAAATTTTTAAAACTTAAACTATATAGGTAGGTACATTGTTATGAACTTAATTAGGGTACTCCTAAGGCTTAGGAAGAGCCACACTCAAGGGGCCAAAGAGCCACATGTGGCTCGAGAGCCGCAGTTTGCCGACCACGGGACTAGTGGAAATCAACCAATCAAAAAAACAAAGAAAAAAGAATTAAAAACAAGAAAAAACACACATGATAATTTAAAGCACTCTAGTATTTGCATTATAGGGATCCCAGAAAGAGAAGAAAGAAAAACAAAGAAACTTTATTTAAATAATGGCTGAAAACTTTCCTAATCTGGGAAAGGAAACAGACATCCAGGTCCAGGAAGCATAGTTCCAAACAAGATGAACCCAGAGAGACCCACAGCCAGACAAAAGTTAAAGATAGAGGCATTCTTGAAGGGAACATGCGAAAAATTATTTACACAAAAAGGAAACCCTGTGATACTGTTATCTGATTTCTCCAGCAACTTTACAGGCCAGAAGGGAGTGGCAGGGCCTCTTTAAAGAATTCTTCATTTCGTTGAATGGACTCTGCTAACTTCTCCCTTGGAACAGACTCCAGAAGAGCCAGGTGTGATAAACTGAAGAACCCCAACTGCTCCAGGGCTTTTACTAAAGTCTGTTTCCTGGAAAAGCCTGTGGGAAGTATCCCTGCATCAGCGTCATCTTGCCAAGATGGAAGAGAGCCCAGGACCAGGCAGATTGGGTCATTCAGGCAGATTGGGTCAATCACTGGAAAAGGAGAATTCCAACATAGAATCTCTGAGCAGGCGCTGTTTTCATCCAACGACAAAGTTCTTGATCTATTTTTTTAAAAGAGAGCATACAAAGTAGCAAGGAAGCTTGCAACCTAGAATAATTTACCCAGCAAGGAATTAAAGGAGAGAGTTTCCCAGACAAGCAAAAACTGAAGGACTTCATCATCACCATTAAACCAGATTTTCAAGAAATATTAAAGGGTCTCCTTTAAGTAGAAAAGGAAAGGCCATAACCAGCAATAAGAAAACATGAGGAAAAAAACCTCACAGAGACAGCCAAATGCTCAATAAATACAGCAAATCACACATTTAAAAAGCTACTACAATGGTTAAAAGAAAAAAGTATCAAGCTCAACTCAAACTACAATAAGTACTTAGGAGATACACAACACAGAAAGATCTAAAATATGACATCAATAACAAAGCATGTATAGGGAAGTAAAAATGTAGTCCTTACAGAATATATTCAAATTTAAACGTCAATCAGCTTCAAATAGAATGCTATAAAGAATGATATACATAAACCTACAAAAGATACAAAAAGAGAAAGCAACCTAAACAAAACACTATAAAAACAGCAAACCACAGGCAAGAGATCAAGAGAAGAAAGGAACAGAGAACAACTGTAAAAACAACTTAAAAACCATGAGGAGCCCCCTGGACCAGTTTAGAAGGCAGAGAACAGGAGCAGCTAGCTCCTTGGGGGGGAGTAAGGCAGGCCTCACCCACCGGCTTCTCTGTAACATCCAAGGACCCCAAGTTAGAATGGAGCCAATGAGCTTTCTTTCTGGAACTTACTTCATATAAACAGTCTGATCTTACCCGGTCCCACTCCTGGAAAGCTTAAGCCTAGCAAGGTAGGAGGCAGTAATTAGCCAGCAGTTTTTGACACATTTGGTTCTTTATTCTTTGGAGGTACCCCAAGATTCTCCAAAATCAATGAGGGTTCAGTATTTATCAACCAAAGAGGCAGCTCTTGGGAAATGATTTATTTTTTATTTTTTACGGTTTTTTTTTTATTAATTTCAGAGAGGAAGGGAGAGGGAGAGAGAGAAACATCAATGATGAGAGAGAATCATTGATTGGCTGCCTCCTACATGCCTTGAGCCCACAACCCGGGCATGTGCATGTGCCCTTGACCGGAATCGAACCCAGGACCCTTCAGTCCATAGACAGATGCTCTATCCACTGAGCCAAACCAGCTAGGGCTTGGGAAATAGACCTCAAAATGTATGTGGAATAACAGCTTGTCCCCCTCTCCAAAGGCCATTTCATTTCTAAGCTTTTCTCTAAACCACCAGGTCCAGGCACATGGCACTGGGCCCCACCCCCTCCTCTTCCAGTTCTGTGCCCTCATCCCTGATCACCAAAAGGCATCTTGCTGGCCTCCATCTCAAAAACATCCAAACCAGTGCACTCATGGTTCATGCCGAAGGTTTTTTGTTGTTGATGTTTTTGTTTGTTTATTTGTTTGATTTAAGAGCCTGTAGTGTTGAAGCTCCACAATTTGGAAGGTCATTCCCCGCTGCGTCTGCCAGGCCTGGGGGTGAGCACCGGGCAGCCTGAGCCGGTCTTTACGTGTAAGGCAGAGGACCCAGCTTTCCCGCAGACCATTCTGCGGCGCTTGTGGAAAAGGCAAGTGTGAGCGGCAGTTCCAGTTCAAAGGGCAGAGGGCGCACAGCTGCCATGGAGTCACCAGTCTGGCCCATGAAGACACTGTGGTGGGGAGAGAGAAAGCAGGCCCATGCCTCTGGCAAACAGGACAGAAAAGAGGAAAAGGAAAGTCAACAAAGGAAATGAAATCAGGGAGGAGCAGGCAGGGTGCGTTCCATACAGCACATGCTCTTCCCATAGTGGTCTCCCCCAGGGTCACCCCTACCTCCACCCCCCCCCGCCCCCACCCCCCCCCCAACCCCCGCCGCCTTTCCTGCAGGGGCCAATGTGCCTTCTATACAGGCCAGGGCTTCAGTTCTGGCAACTGAAGAATCTGAGAAAGGGCTGAGCTGGGAAAGGCTAGAGTTTTCATCCAAGGCAATGGTGCAGACAATTAACAGAGCGATACACAAACCCTGCAGGAAGCCAGAAAAGAGCTTTTTTTTTTTAAAGTACAAAACACCTTTCCGGGGAGAACAGAGTCCCAGGGCCCCAAAGGCACTGCCAGTTGGCTTTAGCAGGAGCATCCACCCTGGGAACAGTGAAACGGGAACCCCGATCAACCTGAGAAACCAACCCAAGTCCCTGCTTCCAGAAGCCACCCGAACCCCTGGCCCACAGCTGGGGTACCCCCTGAGTCAGCGGGTTTCTAGTCCAGCCTGGACAGTGTGCTTTTTCCGCCAACCAAACCACCATGCATTGAAATGTCCACAGTGATATTTTGCAATTAGATGTCTAAGACCGACGATGTAAGAACTACGACAGGCACAGAGACACACACAGGATGTTACTAACCAAAGGCCGCCTCTAGTGCATTCTTTTTCCTTCAGACAAGAAGAAATTACTTTAGAGGTACACACATACACACATATATTTTTTCCCTGATATTCAAAATCCTTTATGAACTAGCCATGCCCAGTTCTGCTGAACCCTTTAAACAAAAGAAGAAAAAGAAAAGGAGCCACAAACATGTATATACTTCTGCTATGGGCTGACCAGCTCCAAGGACTCTCACTCTGAACACAGCCATTCCCAACAGAAGGCCAGAACCTGACCAAACCCAAAAGTCCAAAGGGTTAGACATCTCGCACGTCACAGATCCAGAGAGCAGAATGTCAGAACACCTCACTGCACAGATGGATATCCTTCTTGAGGTTCTTCATAACTTCTGATCTCTTTTACTTTTGTCAACAGTTGCTTTCAAGTTAATATTTTTTAAGTCAACACGTTTCTGCCCTGTGCCCCTTGGCAAGGCAGAAGCCCCTTGAGGAGGAAAAAGGGGCAACATTTTGAAGTGGTGTCCAGAGGAAGGGAGAGGCGATTCTCCTGCGGTGACGTTCTGAGCAGACGTTCGACACACACAAATGTGCCAGTTTCATAAATAATGTTTGTTTTGGTTTCAACACCTCGGACAAGACAGCTTCCAGATCCTTCCCGCCCAGGTGCAGCTGACCAACTTTCCACAGGATGCCAACACGCTGGGAAACAGGTTTTACCTAAAAGAAGAGGAAGAGTGAGTCAGTGCCTTCCTGCAGAGTCCCAGACCCATTCTGGCTCCTCTCTAAACAGTCTCCACCCTATAGTCACACGCCCCAACCACAGGACCTTTGAACGTGCTGCTGTCTGGAAGACGAGCTCCATTCCTCCAAGTAAGTCCTCCCCTTCCCTCAGATCCCAGCTTGGATCCTTTCTTAGTTCCCCACACGGACCCTCTAGGTCAGCAATCAGCAAACTCCGGCTCACGAGCCACATGCAACTCTTTGGCCCCTTGAGTGTGGCTCTTCCACAAAATACTACGTGCAGGCGCACATGTACAGTGCGATTGAAACTTCATGGCCCATGCGCAGAAGTCAGTATTTTGTGGAAGAGCCACACTCAAGGGCCAAAGAGCCGCATGTGGCTCGCGAGCTGCAGTTTGCCAACCACTGCCCTAGGCTACCACCTCTTTTCTCTTTGGATCCCTCCTTCCTAGTACTTCTATAGCTGTTTATGCCAGAGCTCAGCAAAAGATATAAATGCTGGTTTTTCTCTCTTTCTTTTTTACAAATCTAGATTCTTAGGCAGCACTATAAACTGCACGTGTATGTAGGCAAGAACTGAATAAGTCAGACTCACTTAGTAGTAAATTTCATTGCCACACAGACTTCCTGTTCGCATAGGCTTGCTCCTTACAGACATGAAGCTCAAATAGTTTTAAGATGCGTGATACCGTAGCTGAGAACTTCCCCCAAGTGCCAATATTGCTTTTCAAACAAACAAAATCGCCCCGTGAGATGCCCACTTTTGACACACGCGCTCAGCATTCTGCAAGGAGCAGGGCTGGCAGAGCTTTATTCCAACTGGTTTGGGGATGCCCCTGATGCTGTTGCAGGCCCAGGTCGGATGTCCCAGCATCTGGGGGGAGCCTGCAGGTCACCGTGTACCCTCCGACTCCTCCCAGGCCTCAGAAGCCCACGATCTCCATCGCCTCTGCAGTCCACATACTAATGTTTTTGAAGAGTTTCGCTCCCACCCTCAGAAAATGAGGTGGGCACAAGGGCCTTGGAGCCCAACCTCTCAAGCAGTCCCTGCCCTGAGTGTGCTTTGCAACTGAACCTCAGTCAAGAAATAAGCAAGTCAAGTCTGTTTTCTCCTCCTCCCAGCCTCGTCTCCAGGGTCCCCTTGCTGCCAACAGCCACCAAATGCCCTTTGTTCCAAAGACAAGATGCCAGGCATGGCCTCCAGTGAGACAACGGAAATCTTATCAGTTTCTAATTAAACTCCCACAGGCAGCTCTATCCACAAGAGGTGGGAGGCAGGCAATTTTAGAACACATACCTGCACCCCACAGGCACATTTTTTCCAAACCTAAGGAGCAAAGGAGTAGGGGCCTCCCTCCTGGGGGAAGGCAGGGCTGGCAGGAGCAGCGTGTTCTCCAGGCACCATACCTTTGGGCAGCGTTTGTCACACTGCCGATGCCACCTACCAGACAAGCGATGCCACCTACCAGACAAGCGATGCCACCTACCAGACAAGCGGAAGAACGGCATCTGCCTTGCCTTAGGGGACGCCCAGAGGGTGTCAAAAAAGTCTCCTGTAATAAAGCAGGGATGCAGACAGACCCAAAACATCAGCCACAACTGCATGCGAGGCCAACCAAGCTCAAAACACATGCAACCAGGATTCGGTCATCTTTTGAAATAAGGAGCCATTTCAAAACCTCTGGGTTCTCTCTGTACTCTGCATAGCCACCGCTTCCTCTTCTTTAATTGGCCTTTTTAAAAAATATATATATTTGTATTGATTTCAGAGAGGAAGGGAGAAGGAGAGAGAGATAGAAACATCACTGATGACAGAGAATTATGGATCGGCTGCCTCCTGCACACCCCCTACTGGGGATCAAGCCTGCAACCTCGGCATGTGCCCTGACTGGGAATCAAACCGTGACCTCCTGGTTCATAGGTGGACGCTCAACCACTGGGCCACACCAACTGGGCTTAATTAGCCTTTTTAAGTACCGAGTTGGAATCTCATTTCTACAGGTCCCCCCACCACCACCAGCATTTCTGACCCTACACTTTGGAGGTCTTATCTCATGGATTATAACATCGCAGGGATGGGAGCCTAACAAGAAGGCTGCCGCAGCCTCGCCTGCCTGCCTTCTCTCCATTTCCTGCCTGAGGAGCTAAGTCGAGAGATAGTATCAGGACTACACATGTATAACAGTAAGAGCCAGGTACTGCCTGACTGCCCTGGCACCAAAAACAGGACTTTCCTCTTCGCACTCACTCATGAAGTCACCCAAGGTTACAATCCAGCCACATCCGATTTAAATGGACTATTTCCCAGAGAAAAAGACAAAGAGCTGTGAACAGATGATCACGTGCAGACAAGGAAGTTCTCAAAATCACTAAACTGAACATAAAATTGCCCCTGAAATTCGTGTTCTTTTCAAACATATTGACCTGAAAAGTTGTTCATGATGTGCCTGCTGTTCAGGTGAAAGATGTTCCAAAACAGCATGTATGACATGGTCCTATTTCTGTACAAAAGGAAATTCCACGTATGGACTCACACACACTCTAGTGGTTGTTGCGAAGCAGTGAGATTACAGGTCATTTTATTTCCCCTTTTTCTTATCTGGAATAAGGATACACCTGTGATAAGGAAGGCCTCTAAGCAGTCTCTCTAAATGGTCAGTTGTCTTTGAACCTGAGGGCTAGAGCGGTCTTGTGTCTAAGTGATTCACTTCAAGTTCACTGACATCTTGATGTTACTTCAACCATGAACAGCGCAAACTTCTAATGTGAACTACTCGAAGTCCAGTTCTTCCCAACAAACAGGAAGGCAGGCTAGTGCCCAGCCGTGATAAGGAAAGCCTGTGGGAGGCAGCCGAAGTAGATAAAGTTACAGAATAAACATTCCAGGAAAGACGGGCTGAAAATGAATGACTAAATATTCAATAGAAGTTAGGGGAAAAGAACAGAACACACCCAAAGAAAGCTTAAGGAAGAGAAGCAGATATCAATTGAAAATGGCAATATAATAGAGAGGATCAAAGAAGCTGAAGTTTATTCTTTGTATAGACGAATAAAATTAAACTTCCAGCAAGCTGGATCAAGAAAAAGGAGAAAAGGCAACTGTAATCAATGTTAAGGATAAAAAGGGACCATGACCACACATGTTACAAAGATTAAAAAGATGAGAATAAGAAAATGTTGTGTGCCCGGCCGGTGTGGCTCAGTAGTTGAGCTTCAACCCACACACCAAGAGGTCCCTGGTTCCATTCCCAGTCAGGGCACATGCCAGGGTTGTGGGCTCAATTCCTAGTAGGGGATGTGCAGGAGACAGCATATGGATGTTTCTCTCTCATCGATGTTTCTCATCGATGTTTCTCTCTCTCTCCCTCTCTCTTCTTCCTCTCACTCTCTAAAATCCAATAAAAAAAACTTATTTTTAAAAAAAGAAAAATGTTGTGAACAACTTTAGGACAACAAATTTGAAAACTTACATGAAAGAACAAAATACAACCCATCAGAACTGACCCAAGAAAAAATAAAGACTAGCTAGTCCTATAACTGTTCAAAGAACTGAACATCAATAATTTTTTTTAAATCTTTGCACAAAGAATGTATCAGGCTATTCCCGGCAAAGGTAACCAAATAGAGTGGCAGTTTTTATTTATTTCAGAGAGAGGAGAAGGAGAGAAACATCAATGATGGAGAGAATCACTGATCAGCTGTCTCCTACACGTGCCCTACAGGGGATTGAGCCTGCAACCTGAGCATGTGCCCTGACTGGAATCTAACAATGACTCCTGGTTCATGGGTCAATGCTCAACCACTGAGCCACACCGGCCGGGCCAGACTACCAGCCTTTAGACGACAATACTACTTGTATCAATGTACTCAAGAAAGGGCCCCCTTTTCTACCTTACACTCAAGAAAGAGCCTGCATATAGAATTTCTGGACAGACTGATTACTATATTTCTTTGTTGAGGAATTTTTTCTTACTTAGTGAGATCTGAAACTACCACAAAAATGGCTCAGTGTATCACAGAGCCCACAAAGTGATTCTGGTCACCAAATATGGATGAAATTATTTTATTCAGTGGCTCAGAATCAAAACAGCACGTTGGTCCACTTAAACCATCAAGTGCTCTTACTGTACCATACCCACTGGCCTGCGGATGCAGCGGACCCTTTTCATTGTGACTAATGAGGAGGACACAGTTTTCTTCACATTATGTGTTATTTCTGTGCATTGAATGTGAGCCAGATAAAATGGCTAAGCAATAAAATCAGTACGATCACTAACTTTCTTATGTGTATATTATTTTGTAGTATGACTATTACTTATTCTTCTCAAAGGGTGCTGCTCTTCACCAAAACTGTCAATTCTAACTCCCAAGCCCGGGAGCCCAGGGCAGCTGCTGTCCCCACCCGCACCTGTATTTGATGTCGAATACTGTGGAGTCTTCATCCTCATCATCCTCTTCATTCAGCGGGGCCATTTCCACGCGCTCAGCCGGGGTGGTGATGATGTCATACTTGCGGGTCTTCTTCAACCTCTTTCCGGACCTGGAAGAGAGGCACAATCCTGAGGACTCCACCATCCCCCGAGGCAAACCACACACTGTCCCCAGCCTGGGTTCCAGGGCCTGGCGAATACCCCGGCTCCTGCGCTTTCAGCCATGGGACCTCGGGCACGTTCCTGACCTCAGTAACCCTTGTGGTTCTCACCCACAAAACAGAGATGATGAAAGCCGCCCTGAGCACTGGAAAACCCAGGAACCAAGAGAAATAATAGAAAATCCATGATGCACAAAAGACCAAAATGTTCAATGAAGGCAGGATCCAGCTCTGCACTTGCACGGGCATGATGCACCCCATCCCCTCCCGCCTCGTCCCCTGCCCGGCCCTATGGCATTGGATGGTCACCGCTCCAAGCACAGGGGGCGCAAGCTGGCTTTAAGAGCACTGTCCTGTGGGCCATCAGGTGGGATCTGGGTCAGAGCCTGGCCACTACCTGTGTGGGCATGGGCAAATGAGTTCATCTCCCTAAGCCCCATAAATAAAATGCGATAAAAAATAATGTGTGTCCCTCACAGGCGAGGGGGGATGAAGTGAGATGATGCATGTAACAGGCCTACACACAGGAGGCTCTTAGCAAAACGACTGTTAGTAAATATAACCAGCAAATAGAAGTGCTACCGTCTCTCCTGGACGGCCAGGACTTGTAAAAATGAGTCAGTATTGTCTCCATCAGGAGGATTTATGAGGCTGCTGGGTTACAGCACTAAGCTTTTACCGCTGAAATAACAGAGGACCACTGCGGGCCACGGGGGAAGTGCGGAGACAAGGCCCGAGTTCTCCAGCGTCAGGCTTTCTGCGTGAAGGAGGCAACGTTTACCGGGGAATGGCTGAGCGCTCACAATGCCACTGGGAACACTGCTGCTGTTATGACGGCTGATGGCCTTTGCATTTATTTCTCCACTATCTAGACTCTTTTTCAAATGCCTTGCCTTCTCTGTGCCCCTCCCTTTGCAAGTAGAGTCGATATGGCCCCTTTGCCACAATTCTTCTCCCCTGGAACAAGGTCTCATTACGCCAGGAGGCCTCAACAAAGTGATGGCGACTGGCGGGTTTCCGTAAGTGTCCTCGCTGCCTTCACAGGAGCAGGCCGGACCAGCGATGTTCTAGAAGAGACCAAGGGTCCCTCCGCTGGAGCCAAAGCACACATTTCTAACAAGTCAGGGGAGAAGTTCAACATTCTTTTACTCTGAAATGCAATCCTAAAGCCAGGGGGGTTGTTGACTCAAAGGCCCATTCAACAGCTGGTCAGCGGCAGGTTCCCAGGGAGGCTGGCAGGCACCCCACGCAGACAGAGGCGGAGGGAGCTGCGCTCCGCTGACCAACTGGAGAGAGGCCTTCCTTCCTCGCTCCCCCCCCCCCCCAGGGAGAAACAAAACTAAACAAGCCCATCAGGGCTGTGACTAGAAGTTCAATTTGGGGGTGTGGTGGTCAGATCCACAGACAGCATGTCTAGGGATCGGGGTTCAGATCTCGGCTCTGCAATTCCTTTGTCTCGGTTCCTCTGAGCAAGTCACTCACCCCCACCTCTATCCAACAGGGCTCCGGCCACGGCTCCCTGAACACAGGTGCCTGTGACCTTCCAGGTGCCCCCAGCAGTGTCACCAGCGTCACCACCCCTCCCCCCTGTCCTGCAGCTGCCCCTCCGCACCATGCTGGGGCCCCTCTGCTCCAACACCAGCACCCAGTCAAGCGAAATGACCCCCACAAACCCCAGAGCCCCATAAGCACAGAAACCAGTGAAGCGGGCCTGGTGTGCCATAAACATTAGAACAAACACAGTGACGTTGGCCATCTGGCAGCCAACTCTCTGTCTCGGGAGCCAAGAGATACAAAGGGTGGTGCGCACAAGCCCAGCCGCCGCACCTGACTGTCACATGGGGCAGAGGCCCAGCGTTTCCAGATATTTCCACTTGTCAGGAAAAGCAGGAGACTCCCAATGTCTAAGTGTTCTCAGCTACCTGCTTAAAATCACTGTGCAGATCGGAACAAAACCATAAACACTTATCTGTGGGCCATCAGTTTGCAGCCTCTGACTCCGTTCCCTGGCCATGGTGTGCTGGTCACGCGTGCCAAGCATGAGTGACATTGAATAATTCAGCTAAAACCATGAGGCCGGAGAGATGGGCTGGTACACAAGTTCAGCCAAGGTCCCCGCCGCTAATTATACAACCTCGGTGCTTCCCTCCCCTCGTGGGCACTGTCTGTCTTCTCGGGATTAATAAAGTGCTACCTCGTTGATTGACCCCAACACCTGCGTCTAACACACAACACACAGTGTGTCCAGTAGGATCATGCAACACGGGCCAGGCAGCCACACAAAGCTCAATTACAATGCACTGTAGGGCTTTCCTCCATAACACGGCCACCTCCATCAGCTCCCCACCCTGGTTTCTCTTTCCCTCTCTCAGTGCCTGACGGCCAGACCACCTCTTGCTCTTCTAAGGCAGCGGTTCTCAACCTGTGGGTCGTGACCCCTTTGGGGGTCGAACGACCCTTTCACAGGGGTCGCCTAAGACCATCGGAAAACACATATATAATTACATATTGTTTTTGTGACGAATCACTATGCTTTAATTATGTTCAATTTGTAACCATGAAAATACATCCTGCATATCAGATATTTACATTACAATTCATAACAGCAGCAAAATTACAGTTATGAAGTAGCAACGAAAATAATTTTATGGTTGGGGGTCACCACAACATGAGGAACTATATTAAAGGGTCGCGGCGTTAGGAAGGTTGAGAACCACGGCTCTAAGGTAAAATGATCACCCCGGGTTTGACCTGTCTGAGGAGCCCCATGAAATGTGACAACAGCAATGCCCCGAGACCTGTTCCTCCAGCGCTCAAGTGTGTTTACCAAGGGCTGGCCCACTTGGTTCTATGTGTGGTGCCAGCAGAGGAAAGCCAGGCTTGGAGCCAGGAAGGCAGCCTCTAGGGGCAGCGGCAAGATGACCAGGAGACTCTTTGGTGGACCCCGGGGACCCAACACAGCCTGGAAACTGTGGTGTCACCATGCTGTGGGGCACACGGCATAAGGGATCTGTTCGGCATCTACTTGTCCCTGGCACAGGTCTGTTCTTGCCACCACTACCCCCACTTCAGGGATAGTTACTTCTCGGAAGGAGCTCCCAAACTGTCCACCTCAAGCCCAGATGTCCAGCTGCCTAGCTCACTTTCCCCCCAATTCAAATCTTAGTCAAACCACCAAAAACGACCTCCTTAAAAAAAAATGGCCTCCTGATGTCAAACAAACTCCACAGTCCCTCTCAAAGTCACAGAAAGGGACTGAGTCTTCCAACCATGGCTCTGCCCAACGCTCCAATTTATTAAAATAATACCAAAATGCGAATGCGCAATAACGAAAACACTTCAGAATGGTAACTTTCCCCAAATCCTAACAGTATGAAGCTTTTACATTTTCTCTTGACTTTTCTTATTTTGTTTTAACTTATCTTCACTGTTGAACGTATCACAGGCGTCCCTTTTTCTTCCCCCACTGACTCTCTCCATCCCCGCCCCCCCCCCCCTCCACCCCCAGGCCTTCACCACACTATTGTCTGTGCCCAGGGGCTATGCATATATGCATATATTAACTCTTATTCTTATTACAAATGTCAGTACACAGACAACTTGGGGAAAGTTTGGGGATTCCAGGCTAAGTAAGAAAGTTTTTGTTCCTTTTCAAAGACCTGGCTGAGTAAAATGACTAGGTTTCCGTGCTTCCAACATCTGCAGGACACGGTGGCGTGCATCTTTGCCACCGACGCATGTGCGACAGCTGGGCAATGTCAGATCAGCTAGAATTTGTGTTCCTCTCCGTTCGCCGGGAAGCACCAAAACAAAGCCTCCTTTCGGATCAGAAATTTTACAGAGCTTTTGAAATAAGAGGTGGCTGGGCATGGAGCCAACAGAGATCTGGGAGAAACGTGGCGGGAGCGGGAGAGCTGGGAGGCTCGCCAAGGCGGGGAAGGTTCCCCAGGAGGAAGGGAAAGTTGTGGTTTCAGGTGGTGGTTTCTGACTTGTCTCCACCTTCTTTGTAAGACACCGGAAAGTCGAGTTCCATCCCCGCAGATCTCAAAGGGTAAAGTTAGACCTAAGGCGCCAAAGGTACTGAGAACAGCGGCCACTGGCGTAGGTGCTGTTCCTGAATCCATGCTACCCCAGCAGATGCTCTGACATAAAAAACTGGAGGGATCAGCCCTGGCCAGTGTTGCTCAGTAGTTAGAACACTGATCCATACACTGAAGGGTCTTGGGTTCAATTCCTGGTCAATGGCCCGTACCTGGGTTGCAGGTTTGATCCCCGGCCCCAGTAGAGGATCATGCGGGAGGCAATCAATTGATGTGTCTCTCTCACATCAATGTTTCTCTCTCTCTCCTCTGTCTCTCCTTTCCACTCTCTCTGAAAATCATTGGAAAAAACATCCTCAGGTGAGGATTAACAACAACAACAACAAAATGGGGGAATGGAAGTTTTCTAATTACTAGACACAGCCTCTTAGTTGCTTCCCTTCCAGCTCTCAGAAGCAAGACAAGGAACAACATGAGGGGTGGGGGGAACAGCTTCTCTGTGAACTGGGCAGAACTGCACGTACAAAACACACACACACACACACACACACACACACACACACACATACTCTGGCCAGAGGGCACTCTGCCTTCCAACTGCTGTCCCTCCTTCCAATTTTGTCTCATCTTAACATAGCTTTCCTGAATTGATTAAAATACACAAAAAAGGTATAAATGATTCTGCAGATGGATTAATAAGTATGGGGAGAGATGAGACCGCTACTCAACCTCAACAGAAAATGCAAAACAAACCAACGAGATACCAAATCACACTCATTTTGTTGGAAAACTTTAGCAAGTCTGATAATGCTAATGTGTTGAACATGATGGGAGAACCTGAGACCCCACCCACAGGCATTGCAGATGGGAGGGTAAAATAGTATAGACTCAAGCGTATCAAGTATGTGTACCCCCAGACCTGGAAATCCCACTCATAGGTGTACACCCCGATGCTCTTGTACAGGTCCTCAGGGGGACACATCCAAGGATGCAGCAGGGAGCTGAGTGTAGAGACAGGGGGAGAAATAACGAATAGATGTCCATTTTAAGGAAATTCAGGCAATGTATCATGTCATAAACAGTCTATACACATTCACGTGTAGAATGCATACACGTACATAGATTTTTTTGGCACATTCACATAAATTATTTATTTAAATGAGCTCATCCTAAACATGTGGTTTATAACCTGTTCCATTTCACATAGCAACACCATCATTTTTAACAGCCATATAGTATTCCAGTGTAAGGATTACCATAAGTCCTTTAACCAATGCCCAACTGTTGCAAACTTAGATCTATTTAAACCTTTTGCCATCAAACACAACTGCTCTGAATTCCACTGCCCGTGCATCCTTGCGTCCTCTCCTAATAATACATTTAGAAGCAAAGACTCTGTATCACAGTGAAAAATGTGTGCGCCTTAGGAATGGGATTGCTTGGCTAAAGATTTTTTTTCCCACTGCAATACACATTCTTTGCTTCTAATTTTAACAGTTTCCTTGGATCCACATTTTTTCTGTTGTCTGGCAAAGTGACTCCTTCAGGGAAAACAGACAAATAGGCCAGGACTGCCACTTTATAAACAAAAACACTGCACCCTTCCTCCCTTATCTACATCGTTAAGAAAAGGAAGGGCCACCATTTAAACAAATTCCTACCTCACCGGCATCAGCCATGCATCTAGTTAGAGAGGACATTTTGAGAAGCGTCAGCAAGTGTAAACTACTTAGAAGTTCAACATTCATTTGCTAAAAATATCTTTATTAGATGGCAGCTTGTGCCTGGAGCCACAGTAGGTGTTAGAGAGACGAACAATGAAGGCCCAGCCCTGCTCTCGGGAGCCCTCGGCCTCCTGTGGCAAAGAGACATGTTAGGGACATTCTTGACTCACATGGGAAATTCAAAACTCCAGTGTGCAGCCCTAGCTGGTTTGGCTCGGTGGGTAGAGTGCCGGCCTGTGGACTGAAGGGTCCCAGGTTCAATTCTGGTCAAGGGCACATGCCCGGGTTGCGGGCTCAATCGCCAGTTGGGGGTGTGCAGGAGGCAGCCGATCCATGATTCTTTCTCATCATTGATGTTTCTCTCTCTCCCTCTCGCCCTCTCCCTTCCTCTCTGAAATCAATAAAAATATATTAAAAAAAAAAAAAAAAAAAACTCCAGTGTGCTCTGGGAGCCCTGGTGGGCCCTGGCAGGGGAGGGTTCTTACAGGAGGCGCCACAGGAGGGCAAACAGCAAGGAGCTGGCAATGCGGTCTTGGTGGCGAAGGGGACTCCAGGCAGAGGGTCGGAGTGGGCAGAGCACGCAGGCCTGAGGCCACAGGCCACTCTGGAGAACCCCTACAAGTCCAGAAGGGCCAGAACCGCGGGCAGAACCAAGACAGGGACTCAGGAGGGAGGCCAGGCCCTGGTCGTGAAGAGCTAGCTTGCCCACGTGCTAAGCAGAGGGGCGATGGCGGGAGCAGGGACAAGGCTGGTGGCAGAAGACGAGGGCTGTGGTTCAGAGACAAAGCAGGGGCTCAGGGCGGGCAGAAGCGCTGGCAGGTGGAGAAGTTTCCGTGGGTGGAAGGGCTGTGGGCGCAGGTGAGAGAGCCTCAGGGTGACAGGGCGGAATGGCCAGGAGTGGCAACTGCCTGCTAAGAAGCTGGGCAGGGGGCAGGTGAGAGAGATGCCCAGCCAGTGCGGCAGGCCTTTGGGAGCCTGTGGTCTGAGCCTGCAGAGAACCAAAGGGGGAAGGTCACAGTCCGGACTACTGAGCAGTGTGATGGGGCACAGCGCTGCCTTAGCCACAGACGTGTGGAGTGTTCTAGAATCGCACAGACGACTCACTCCCTACCCTGAGATACAACTTTCTCTCTGCCAAGGAGCCCATGGGGACTGTGCAGCATCCAGGCCCTTCCCAGCTGCAAATGCCATCAGTTCCCGTCTCCATCCTGTCCACCTGGTAGCTCACCCCAAGATCACCTTCTCGGGAAGGGGAGGCAGATCGTGTCCATCCCTGGCTTCTCTGTGAAGCCAGAACCTTCTCCCAACACTCCGCATCCAAGCCAATGAGGACCCATCCCAGCCAGGCCTGAGGGCTGCTCTCCCTCCCAAACTCCCGCTCGCGGCCCTCACATCTGGCCGCACGCTGCTTGCTTTCCTGTCCCCCTCTGGATAATAAGGAGCAGACTGGCAAAATAGTTCAAATGCCTGCTTGAAAAGTCCACCGCCTTCTGGGCTCAGCGGCCTATTTTCTGCTAAACGTTTCAAACCTCCAGGCTCAGAGTTGCTCTAGGCATCAATGTTCCCTCCACCTGAACAGTCAGGGAATCAGGTTGATGGAGCGTCGCTGGATGCCAGGCCAGGAGGACTATGGAGACAGACACTGGGCTGTCTCTAAGTTTGGGAGCTGGACACTACACCCAGCCACCCAGCACAGCAGGAGAAGGGTTGCATGGAGGCTGCACGAAGGTTAGGGCTGGGGGCGGCCAGAAAAGGAAGCCAGGGCCTCACGTGGATATCCAGGAACACTGGGAAGAAGCATGGGGCCAGACCTTGGTGGCTGCGGGCAGTCTCTGCAGGTGTGAAGCAGGAATGGCCAGCACCATGGAGTGTAGGGAAAGGAGCAAGTGATAGAGAGAAGGCTCAGTAGGCTGATGGCCGCAAGGTGCGCTGGCTTCAGTTTGTTAAGGGCCCCGGGATGCAATGCCCAGGTAATGGCCCCAGGAAGGTTTGTCAGCAGAGGCATGGGCAGTGGGAAGGCCGGGGTCCAGAGAGGGGCAATTCAATTCCCACATGAGGGGACCAGCACAGTGAGGAACATGGCCAAAGCCAGGGCACAGGATGGTGGTGTGACTGGGGCACCACAGTTCCCCCCTCTCCATTTGCTTAGGTCACTGCCATTTCATCCTACAGACGCACCAGGAAACACCTTGACTCAAAGTCACATCATAACTGCAAACCTATAGATAACTCCCCCTCCCGGTCTGGTTTCTGTTCCTGCCGCTGAAAATGCTCCCACGGGGAGCGCAAGCCCCGGGCCCCAAACCTCCAACAGCTGATCAAACACCCCAGCACACTGTGTACACTTGGAAGGGGAGGGAATGGCGTGAGTAATGATACACACACATACACACCCACATGACCCGGCAGCCCGCCCAGTAACAGGACACATTCGGTTCCTTTCCTTCAAAGACAGGGTTTCCCAGGCACTGGGGGGAAATACGCCCCTTGCCTCCACTGTCGCCTTCTCCATCTCCCTACTCCAGGTACCTGGACATCCTTCCCAACTTCCCAGATACGTTCTCCTTGAACTTGAGCAAGCTACAAAAGCCTCTCCAGGATCCCTTATACCCATGGAACCTAAACCAACTCGGTCAGGTAGGAGCATAGCAGAGTTGTCCGTGTCCCCCACTAACAGGAAGTACTGAGGCCACCAGGAGTCACCAAGCATCCTTGGGGCGCAAAGCGCACCCCCAACAGGCCTCCTGCAGACATCCCCATATGCCCGATACTGCTTCCTTTAGTAGCACAGGGAAGGGAAAGAAAAAAGGCAGGTTGGGGCCTCCGAAGAAGGAAAGGACGGAAGACCGAAGTCAGACGGACCTGGTTGCAAATTCTACCTCCACCCCCGAGTTTACTTGGCTAAGCCACCGTGCCTGGCGGGAAAATTTACCCTCATCTGTGAAACGGGTATAAACATAAATCCCGTGTAAGGTTATCAAAAATCGGAGCGCTGCTGTTGGTGCTAAGCATTCACAGAGAGTTCAAAGGAAACCAGGAGAACCAGGCGAGCGCACCACCGCGGGGCGGCATAGGGAGCGGGGTAGAAGGAGAGAACCAGGCGAGCGCACCACCGCGGGGCGGCATAGGGAGCGGGGTAGAAGGAGCGCACCGGGCGCCTAGGCAGAGCCGGTAGGCGGTGCAGGTGGACCCGCGGGGGAAGGAGAGGGGCGCCGGGACCCACCTGAAGACGCGCAGCAGCAGGCAGGCGATGAAGGAGAGGGGCGCCGGGACCCACCTGAAGACGCGCAGCAGCAGGCAGGCGATGAGGAAGGCGGTGAAGGCGCACGCCACGATCACGGCCGCCTTCAGGGTGGGCAGGTCGCGGAGCAGGCTGGAGATGCGGGTCACCAGGGCGTCGCCGCTGCTGTTGGAGCTGCCACCGCCGCCCGTCACCGCCGCCGCCCCCGACCCGGTCCGGGTGGTGTTCACTGGCCGGGAGCCGGGCGCCGGGTGCTGGGGCTGCGGCACCGCGACCACCTGGGCACGGATCGCGCGGGCAGCGGGCGCGGCCAGGAGGA